TTTTATTTTAAAAAATAGATTCTTATAAGTTAGAGTTAGACAATCGTTGACATAAATACCCTCCTTCTTCCAATTTTGATTGATGTCTGTAGTCGACAATCGTTTCGTTTTCACAAAATGCATAAAGTTTAATTTTTCCTCTATTGATTTTAGAACCACGACAATTTGTCCAGGTTTTCCAGTCATTTTCGAGCGTACACGATATGCATTTTCCACATTAATCTTCCTGCCCAATGCCACAGAAATATTTTCAACAATTTTGATACAATTTTCATTTTTTGATCAGGTAGACCAATTAACTCAATATATTTGATAATTTGTTCTTGTTCAATTATATTAATACGTTTATTTACTAATGCAACTTCACTTTTTAATTTTATATTTTGTTCTTTAAGATATCTGTTTTTCTCCTTAATTTCCTTTGCTGAATTCACCAGATTCCGGATTTGAATTTTAAAATCATTAAATTGTTTACTCATAAAGTTGATAGAGATTGTAAGATCCACTAATTGCTCTTTAGAGACAATATTACAATCTTCCATTGTTGGTAAAGTATTTATATTTTTATTAATAACTGCTATTGCCGAAGAGCCTCCTTTACATTTAATGCAGCTCCAGGACTTTTTCCTAATTTTGAAGTAGTTTCTAAACTTGTTTCTCTAATTCCCGCACAAGTAAAAGGTAAAAACACCTCACACTTTGAGCATTTTATTTCGTCATTGTCGAAGATTTCTTCATTACATATAGAGCATAATAACATATTAAATAAAACTGATAGGTAATTCCGATTACCAATATACGGTTGGTATACAATTAAAAACGACCTTAATTTTTAACCGTAATTTCGTTTATAGATAAGCGACTTGCAAACAGTGCCGCAACTACAAAATAGGAGGCCCGTGTGCAGTAATTATATTGGGCACCTTTTATTTTATTTATTTTTTTTCAAGTATCAATTTTTTTAGGTTTTAAAACACGTTTCACAACAGTTAGTGTGTGATATATGTATATATATATATATATATCAAACTAAATACCTATAACTGTTGTATATTATACTTCACTACATATTTATGTAGTAAATTTATTTAAGTAGTTTAGGTAGGTATGTTGTATGCCTACTCAAAAACTCAATGGACTCGTTGTGAAATAAATATTATATTATTCTTAAATATTATAACAAACTTACCTTAATTTAAAAAAAAATTATTTTTATTATTAAATAATTGTGTGTTTGTAAAGTTTAGTTTATTTCAGGATGGGACCAGGGAGCCTCCCCTCCAAATTTATGTAAGCCTTGGGGCCCGTGTGTGCGGCACACTCTGCACACCCGGTTTTTGCGGCATTGCTTGCAAACTATTAAACACGACCTTCCGCACTGAACACGAAATGATAACTGAGACTCTAGATAGAATATTGCTGGAGACAGTTCTAAGTTTCACGTACCTGGAGAGCAAAATTACAAGCGATGGGAAAAGCCATACAGACATAGTATGTAGAATAGCGCAAACCAATCAGGCCTATTATAAAAAGAGAATTCTTTTTACTTCAAATAGAATTTTCCTGGACACCAGGAAAACACTTACAAAAAGCTTTGTGTGGAGCGTAGCTCTATATGGAGCAGAGACTTGGACAATAATGAATGCCGAAAAAGCCAAAATAGAAGCATTTGAAGTATGGTGATGGAGAAGAGTGCTAAAAATTTCATGGACGGAAAAGAAAAAAAATGATGAGGTTTTTTGGAGAATGAATATCCAAAAATCAATATGGAATACGCTAAGACTGAGAAGGAAAGTATGGATCGGACACGTAATAAGGAATAGTCCTTGGATAACTATAAAAATAGAGGGAAAAATCGAAAAAAAACCTGGAAGAGGTAGGTCTAAAACCCCATTTCTGAAGCAAGTGATGGAAGATACCGGAATAGGAACATACTGGGTGATGAAGAGGATTATAAATGACAGAGAAACGAAGTGAAGAGAAACATCAATAATCATTTACCAATCTTCAGATTGATAAAAAAAAATTAAAAAAATAAAATAAAACGATTATGATAAAAAATACACATCAAGTTTGCAAAATATTGGTAAATATAGATTTCTAAACCTCAACCAATTGAGGTCACTTAAATGCACCGATATAATGAATAACATCTTTAATAAGGGCTCAACAATTTATTACTACATTTAAGAAAAATGTAATTTATTCCTAGATAATTTACAAACAACTAAAGAAAATAAGAAATTGGATTTTGCCGCATCGATATTTGCGATAATGAATTTCTGCGTAAATTTGTATACAATTATATAATTCTTCACACTTCGGCAATAATCATAAAATCATAATAAATTAAAATTATAATTATATAAGTTTAATATTTTACAGAAAAAAAAGTAGTTCAGAAATAATATAAATTATCTCTAATGGTCAAAGCCTAGTATTTCTAATTAATCTGAAATTTAAGGAGGCTTCCTTTAAATTATTTTAGATTAGGGCCGAGGGGAAATTGGTCCCGTTTACCTCCTCCCACCTCGGCCGACGGCCCTGATTCGTTTAGTACTAACTAAATCATAATTGTAACGGATTCCAATGTCTTACGTACTTTTACATTTCAACATTTTCGAAAACGTACGCCAAGCGTTACACGAATTGCATATACGGAACCAACGTCTACTGAAAAACGCGATCCCCGCAGTGGGTGTTCTTAAGAAATAATCTTCATAAACGTGTTGGCATATTTCTTCCATCATGCCGGATATCGGACTGTTCGCGAAAAGATTAGTTGTATATTATTACGTTCGGATAATATTATTATATAAATTAACAAACAACATAATAGTATACCGAGATATAATATACTAATTACCTAAGATATGTTTGAAATCACTAAGAAGACTCTTAAAAATTAAATACGTGAAGTTTCGTATCCCATAACAATAATAAGAATGCTTATAAATATAATCAACCGAATAATTTATACGGATAGCGTAAATGTTTTATTTGCATAAAATATAATAATATTAACGTGTAATATTTTATGTTCACTAATTAATATAAGATTATTTGGAAATTTACAATTTATATAAAAATTTTAATCAGTATTACGAGTATACAGAAATTAAATTAAATCTCACCTACTTCATGTTATTTTTAAAGAAACAGACCTAGAAATCCTGGACTTTTAGGTGATACAATATTTATACTTCTTTATAATATATTTTAAACTTGTCTCCCATGTAATAATATAATCTATAATTGGTTACTTATACATCATTAATTACATCACCATGACTAATTGTTAAACAAGGTTATTACATTGAACCATTAATTTAAAACATACTTAATTATAGTTTATAAATAGTAGAAAAGGTTATATACAAACTTTTTTTTCACCGTTAACCGACACAAGCTCACAATAACAATATTACTTATAGGTACCTGATGAGTAGATCTAGGATTTATATACAATAAAAAATTGTATAATATGCATTTTATTTACCAATATATGCAAAAACAAATTTTTATTATTTCTAGAACTATTATTTATCATAACTTGTTATTACATTGTTTAATTACATTAAATATTAGTTTATACTTACATAGTTTTTAAGTTGTACTAATGAAATTAAATACATCTGTACTGTCTCTCAATATAAGTACCTGCATGGGCCAAGCCTTTAAAATGTAAATCCAGGTTAGGTTATGACGGTCCGGGCTGAGTTTTTCAGAATGTAAAAACTTGTACAAAAATTAAATTTTACTGATAAATATCCTATATATATATATATATACATTATTCTTTAGGGCCGAGCCGGGTTTTGAAAAATATCTTTAAAGTTTTAGTCCCGTTTTACAGCCGAATGTTCATACGTGGTGTTTTTCAATTTACATTATTGAAGTTCATGCGTGCCGATTGAAGCAATCCATATGCACCCTTAGTTTGGCGTGTATGAACTTTAATAATGTAATTCGAAAAACGTGATAGACGATACGCGTGGCTGTAAAACAAGCCCTATACATTAGCAGAAAGTCTGTACTGGACTGGTCTTAACGTTTTTGACCCGTGCAGACATCTAATAAGTACATCTTAAAATAATGTATGAATAATTATATCGATCGTCTGACCAAGGCAAAATTATATAAGTAGTATATTTACAATGATTCGAAAAATAAACGTTCATTAGATAAATACCATTTAAAATTAACAATAACTTAAAAATAATGAAATAAACTTGAAATTTTAAGTTTAAAAATTAACAAAATTCTTAACAATTTATAAATATGCAAAAATATGCAAGATAAAAATGGTTCTATTTAATCAACAATAAGCCAAATTGTGAACGTACTGAAAACCAATAAATTTGAAATTGAGGAAAACAACATGCAAATGCATATAAATCCTTGCCCTACTGATAAGTTTATTATTTATTATAATTAATCTTAACTACATAATAGCTGCATCAACTATAGCCATTTATAATACTACATTTTATAGTTATTACTTTTTATATGGAATATATCTATTATTCAGAGTTAGTAATTTGAAATAACATTTTTTATTTTAACCAAAACTTACGTGCAAGTAACCAAAAAAGCTGTATTTTATCAGGAATATCATTGCTTAATCCAACAGGTATTTTTGTTTCAAATTCGCTTTTGAAAAGATAGTCTACTTTTAATAGGTTTAATAATAAATGTGGCTGTATCCATGGAGAAATCTGCAGAAATTCTTAAACACAACAATAAATTTTTTTTTCCTTTTAACATAAATAAAACATTGTTCAGGGAAAAATAATAAAAGCATTTGGTTACCTTTAGCATCATGCATAAAAACGAAATGTTTAATTTAAAATTGTCAAATCCATATAATCTTTATTTAAATAAATATTTCTATATAAACAATTTTATTCATTAGATATTCTAGAAATGGACTTTTTGGCTGGTGACAAATACAAATTTTTTACATATATTTTTTTCCTTTTTATTTTTATATATATATATTTTTTTTTTACAATACAATATTTCAACTATTAAATTGTCAACAATATTAAATCACCTCGTCAAATATGTCATTCAATTCTTTATACAATTATAATAATCATTGTGTCCTAATCATTAATTACTATGTACAAAAGAGAAACATTTTGTCCAAGGATAACGGTACCTTTTTTTTATATATTATTATTATGATATGCCGAAAACGATTATTCAGTTAACCGATCAAATTGTGTGTATATTATTTAAACCTATACAAGCGTAGAAAAAGCTAGTATTATGCAAGAGTGATTGTATTTCGATTAAGCGTGAATGGCTTCGAAATTTTATATAGAAAAAAGGAAAAAATGTACGAGCGACGCGCGATTAAAGAGAGAATTACACTGCTAACGTGCTTATTCTCAAGGACGGGTAAGTTTTTATATTGTCTTATTTTTTTAATTAAAATTAAAAAAAAAAAGTTTAATACTTAATGTAAAAATGATCTTTATCGGTCAAAATATCATTCAGGTGGATAGAGGTAGTAATAAGTACATAATAATACATAAATAATAAAAATGCATATAAATGTGGAGTCGGGTACTTAAGGATAAAAATAAAGTAGGACGAAGAATATTAACTTTCAACTTAAAATAAATAGAAAAAAAAATAACTTAAAAAAAGTTAAAAAAATAAAAAATTAAAAATAATATTACAAATAAAATTAACCGTGGAACACAAAAGGCATTATCCTTAAATACATCAGTCGATGGATTCTTTGTATAACGATATTAACTATGTTTAAAAATTGCCTAAATTTACACATTACAAATATTTTTGGTCTATACACTATTCCTATAATTATGGATACATACATACGTATCACACATACATATATAAATATATTACAAATAAAAAGTATTAGTAATTAGTTGTTTATCGGGCAAGGCTTCAAGAAAATTCTGTGAGTGTATATATTGCACCACACTTTGTTCGAAATAAGCAAAAAGTTAAAAGATATAATCTTGTAGTCGAATCTTAAAGTTAAAAAATAAAAACTCAATGATATTAGGAAATACAGTAACAAAAAGAGTAAATAAGTCATATTATAACGATACATAATATAAACATGTATGTGTATGTGCATATATATGTATGTATGATGCGGTACACAATAAAATTTCTTAGGTATTTTATACCTGTATGGTATAGTATGTGTGTGTGATTGTTTAAATGAGTGAATGTGGTGTGTTTCAAGACTAGATTGATGATAACAGACGGATATAGACATTTGTGTAAGAAAAACTATGTCTATACAGCTGACTAAAATAATAATAATAATCTATGTAGAGGTGGCACTCTGACTGTTCACGTATGTGCGTGCGAACGCAAGACAACAATGATCATTGTCAACAGATTTTTAAACTGCGCGCTCAGTGTACGTGAACATGTCTGGCCTGTCTCAGTCGGAGTATTGTTCGAACGATCCTAGGTATTCGAGTGCCGCTTGATAGCAGAACTGGTACTGTTCCTATAAGATAAAAAAAACCATGAAAGTTAAATGTATTACACGATTATTGATATTAATTAAAATTAAATTTATATTTCATAAAAAATCTTTTAAATAATGTGTTTCATTTCTAAATTGCTATCATGTTGGATTACCTCTGTTTGAACCATAGCTGGACGCTGCGTTCGCAGGATTCGGATTGTTTGAAAGAGATCAATTACACCTTCGCATTGCATTCGCTCTAATACGATACTCAGGGACACAAATACACCTGTCCTACCCACGCCACCACTGTAGGGAAAAAATCGGGTTAAATCGGTACTCAATGGAAGCATTGACGCAATAATACCTGCAGTGAACTGTAATAGGACCTTCTTGACCGAACTGTTCTTTCGTTTTGTGTACTTGTCCAATGAAGTCTATGAACCCTTCAGCCGACTTGGGCACGCCCTGTTCTGGCCAGTCAGTGAACTGAAATTGCCTGACGGTCCGTGACCCGTTATCGATCGTATCAGTAACCTTAAACTCTCTAAGTATGTACTGTGGCATATTGTATTCCGTGATAGGTTCAACAACAAACGTGTCGTACCGCACTGATCGTTCGGAGGGCCAATATTGGTAGCATTTTTCCTATAAAAAAATATAAAATATATAAATATATAAAAATAATAAAAAAATTGACTACACGTTAACCCCGTGGATATGACACACGGTTTTGTTGATCATCTTACCCTTCCCATTTCGTGAAGTTTGGTGAGCATTACCACAATTGTTGAATTGTGCTCCCACAGCATGCGCCAAAAATCATCGGTGGTGATCTGCAGAGGTCCCTGGGTCGCAATGTAAGCACCACGCTGTCTGTAGCCATCTATGAAGTTAGCGTTGATATAGTCTGATCCTTCCAGGCCCCTGGAAGACCCTCCACTCAGACACACCCGGGTATTTTCGTACGGTAGCAAATGGACCAGACGATTTTTCGGTTTGTTCACAGGCAGGCTAGCACTCACGAACCGGCAGAATTCACTTTTGACCAATGCTAATTTCTGTAACGCGCAGCAGAGGAAAACAACATTATTTACAAATAATACATAATCCACACAACATTTGTCAATCATAAAGGTTTTATAAATGTTTGATTTCAATCGTAATTGAAATATTCAACTTAAAAGTTAATACAACATTGAATATATATTTTAGATTTTAGGTTTAAGATCAAAACAGTAATACTTAATAAATATTGTAATAAACAATTAAAAGCAAAATTAAATAGAAGAAATAATAAAATATATTCTTGCATAAGCTCCTTTTAATTTAAAAAGAAAATTGGCCAAAATACTCTCATTGACTTTATAATGGACTATGATTTTATTTTTTTTTTTTGTAACAATAGTTGCTAGATCTAACTGAATTATCTTCCAATGTAAGTTTCACTTTTATATGTTAAAGTTAATTAAATATATTTAAGAATAGTATTTATAAATTTTTTTAAACTAATATATATTCATGTTTTATTTAATTTATTTTATTAACAAAAATGAATAATGGTTCTTTAACTGTTTTTATTTTAATATATATATATATATATATATAATATTATATTATTTAATAAAGATACATTTCCAAAGAAGTATTTATAATTATTTTTGATCCAAATTTAATAAAAATTAATATTTATTTAATCAATTGACAAGATTGGATAATATTGAATAGATACTAAATAGTATACAATGCTTATTAATTAATATTCAAATTTATTTTAAATTGGTATATAACAATAATTTAGATTCAACTAATGAATTGATGATTTAAGTATAAATCAATAAGTTAAAAATTAATTGACAATAATAAATATTTAAATTTAATGGTTACATAATATTTTACTTTAAATTATAATTTAACATTTAAATTTGGTTCAACTAACTTACCTGCAATATTGAATAAATATTTAAAAATCCATTTATTATAAAACTTTTAAAACAATAATTTTAAATTGGATTTTCAATTTTAAATAAACATTTATAAAATATTAAATTGATGTATGAGAATCGTAACTTGTTGACGATTATTTTACCTTGAACTCGAGTTCCATTCCTGTAACCGTTGTGCCAGGATCCATCTGCGATAGTTGTTGGATGTGCATGGGCAAACTGCGGACGGGCACTTCGGTTTCGCCACAAGTGACTGCTTCCAAGAGTGCGTCGTGTATGAAAATGTACTGCTCCTCGGTCTGGAAAACAAGAAACGAACGTATAAGTGTCGATAGCCACGCAATGTCATTATTTATTTCGGATTACGTATTAACGGGGGGGGGGGGGGGGGGGGGAGGAGGAGGAGATACTATCAATAATGAATGTTTTTTTTTTTTTTTATACACCAAATGATATTATTTTAAAAATTATTACCTTCCGGAAAAATAAATATTACGAGAATACACATTAATCGGAGAATTAGTCTGATAGTGGGCTATACTTACGAGGAGTAAATGAAAACCAATAGTTACCTGGACCATGTAGTTTCGTTGGGCTCTCAGGCACGTGACGTGTGCGTAAATGTCGACGCTGTGCTCATTCTTGGCCCGTTCCAGCATCGCGTCGATCACTATGAAACAACCGGTGCGGCCCACGCCCGCACTACAGTGCACCACCACTGGGCCGGAGTCCATCAGGTTCACCGCGCGGACACGTTTCATGAACTGCAAAAGCGGCGCCGGATGGTCTGGCACGCCGTGGTCGGGCCACGCGCCGAACTGCAACTGCTTCACCTCCCTGGTCTCGTTGTCAGTGGCCCGGGTCAGATGGAACGACCGGATCACGTACGTAGCTAACTCCTGTACATTGGTCAACGTCACCGTGATGGGGCCGTACACTTGCGAGCCCCGGGTCGGCCAGTACTGGTCGCACTTGACGCGCGTCCGCTCCTCGAGTTTGGTCATCATCACAATGGTCGAGGTGCGCACCTCCCAGCACATGCGCCAGAAGTCGCTGAACGTCTCCTGCAGCGGGCCCTGCGTCGCTATGTACGCGTTGTGCTTCCGGTAACCGTCGCAGTAGTTGGCGTTTATATAATCACTGCCCGGGATCCCATCGATCGGTTGCAGGGTCACCCTCGAGTGGTCGTACGCGATCACGTTAGCGTACCGGTTCTTTGGCTTGTTCACGTCCATGTTCGAGTGGTCCCACGTGAACTGTTGGCCCGGCTCAATCGACTCGTACTCTTGTGAAAATTTGAAGTTGTCGTTGGCTTTTAGCAGTTCGATGTGCTGCGCCAGATAATTGATCGGCACCGGCGGATGGGACACCATCGCCGGTGTCTGAAACTGCAACCGTCGCAATTCCACCGGGTCGTTGTTGGGATGAGAGTTACCGATGAGAGGTTTCGTAACGCCGGACGTTTCACCGTATTTGCTCGGTCGTCGACGTCTACAAACAGAATTATTGCATTTGTTTAATACGATAAAATACTATTTGGGTTAAGCGGTCATTTCCGGAATGGTTCGCAGATTTGTCACAATCATGTAATAATAAGATCAATCTTTTTAGTGGACAATATCTGAATCTAAATTTTTAATTTTTCTATAGCAATAATCTTTAAATTTTATTTAATGGCACGTAATTAATGTCAATGCATTTATGTATAATCTTTAACTAAAATCTCCATTCAAAATAACCAACTAACACGTAATAAGTAAATATTAATAATTTATTTCGAGGTTTCAATTAAATTTATAAAGAATAATGGTGCAAACTGAAAATGTCTAATATAAGTTTTAGTTATTTACAGTAATAAAATATTTTAAAATATTATATTTATATTTATTTATTATGAAATATATAGATTTTTTATTTTTGTTGAAAAAAGTTCTTACTGATCAAATTTTCTAATTGAACATTTTGCTAATGCAGAGTTATCAATATCATTTGTGAACTATTGTGTATAACTATTTAGTAATAGCATGAATAATAATAATTTCAGTAATCAATTAGTGTCATATTATTCCATATAGATAACAAAGTAACATCTGTCTTGGTGCTTTATATTAAATAATACTATTAATATAAGGCTACCACAGATGTAGGTATACCACACAAAATAATATAAGTGAACTTAAATAAATAAATACATTTATTTAAATTTTTTTTTAATTTAATATGCCTTTGTTGTAAACATTACAGCAAAATAAATAAATTAAATAGAAAAAATAATACTAATAATATTGTTGAGCAGTAAACATTGTAATTGATATTCATAGATTTCATATCTATATGTATGGTATGGTCGCATATTTATTGGCTAATTTAAATAAAAACAAATATTGTCATATGCTTGTCACTGAGATATTTAGTAAAATAAATTAATTAAAATTATGTAAAGGAAGGCCTATAAAAATAAGTATAATATTTCTTGTATGAACATCTAACCAACTTACTTTTTAACTACAAACAACAATATTAAAGCAGCAGTAAGTAATATTGCAGCGATTACAGGACCAACTAGCCATAACAGTCCTGGAGGAGTGGCACTACTTCTGACGCTTACATGATCATTCGATGCTCCACTAGAACCTGTGTTACTAGGAAGATTCATGTCTCGTATTTCAGGCCGTTTTGGAACTTCTTCAGGACCGACTTCACGCATTTCTAATGAAATAGGTTCAGAGAATGGACTAGATGTATATAAATGCTAAAAAAATAATACATGAGTTTTATTGAACATTGTTATATATTATATGCGAACAATTATTAAAATTTAAACAACTTTGATTTACTTTTTGTGGAGTATCAACAAAAGCTCGTACGAAAATTCTGTACTTAACGTTTTGATCAAGTTTTCTATTTAGGAACCCATCATACGTTTCACCATTACCCAGATAAAAGGTCCAAGGTATGGTTCTATGAGGGAATTTAGCAGCAATGTATGGCTCACCCTCAGCCAAAAATTCTTGTTGAGAAATTTCCACTAACTATAATTAAATTTTTTGTTAATACACACACACACACACACACACATATATATATATATATATATATATATATATATTTATTTATTTATGTATAATAAATGGGTAATAACTTTTGTGAGAACAGTATATAAATATATATTTATATATCAGTTATGTATTATTTGTTGCTTACTTTTTGATTTAAAAACTCATCAGGATTCATATTTGCAGTATCTGGATTTTCTGGAACAACTACTACATAATAATGGCAAATTGGACCATATTCTTCTGATGCTTGAGGAAGTATAACCTAATATATAAGAAATTGAGTAATACATATAGACTGATTTGTTAATATTAATACTCACGTGTATTTTTTGCATATTCACAACTCCGAAAAAATCAGGCTTCACCATGGGTTGAGGGGCGGCCATTTGTGTAGTAACTGTTATCCTTGAAGGTGGCCTATAACTTCGGTCAGACGGTACAGCACTAACATTTACAGCATAACTTATAAATGGAGATAATTCATCAATTGTATGACTTAACACATATTTGTCTAATTCGATGACTCGAACTGGTACAATTTGTAATTGGGTAACACCCTGAGAATCTCTGAATTCTTTTACTGCATTAAATGAGATCTTGTATCCGATTGGGTTTAATTTGATAGGAGGAGTCCAGGATAATGTCATGCTGTGTGTGCTAACTTCTGATGCACGTAAGTTTAATGGCACCTCATCTGGCTTCACAATAACAGTAATTTTCTCAGACAATCTTCCAAAGCCCTGTAGTTGAAAAATGAATAAATGAATGAAATATTTATTAAATGTGTTAAGTAAAGTTTTGTTATGAAAAGAGAAAGAAGGAATATTAAATTTACATTATCTATACGTGCTGTCACAGCAATGGCATACTGGGCCATTTTTTCAAGATTAGCAAGATCGGTAGATTCAGTAGCAGGGACATCTTTGATGTTCCATTGATTAAGATCTTCCACTGCTGTCATTGTATAGTACACACGATAACCGTTGATTTTAACACGTACTGGTACAGCCTCCCACCAAACTTGAATACTTTGATCAGATGTTGCTACAGCTTTAACACCCATTGGTGCCCGAACCATTTCTCTAGTAGTATTAATAGTCATCCGTGGACTCCATGGTCCATCACCTTCGGCCGTCACTGCTCTAACAGTAACAACATATTCAGTGGCTTCTTCTAATCCAGAAAATACAACCTAAGAAATAAAATTAATGAGTTAGTTAATAATTATAATAATAAACCAATGGTACTGAGATTTCTAATACTTTTTTCAAGGTAGTATTTCTGTGAGTAATAGTAGATTGGTCTATTTTTTTGTGAAACTGTACATCATAACGAATAATTTGTCCATTACGATGTTCACGAGATGGTTCTTCCCAAATAATGCAAACAACATCAGGAGTCTGGAATTCATATGATACGTTTATTGGTGGACCAGTAGGTGGTCCTTCAGGAGTATTAAAGTATTCAGTGGCTTCTTGACCGAAACCCACTTGGTTTTGACCAGATATATGAAATTCATATTCAACACCTCGTTCTGTAAAATTAATATACATTTTAGAAATAATGTAATGTTAACTAATTGAAAATGTAAAATTTACCTAAGTCTGTAATTCGCCTTTTATTTTCAGTCATCATAATTTCAAACATTTCTTGTCCTCGAATCCCATAACGTAATTTGTATCCCAATAGTTCACCATATGTATTCGTAGGTCTAGTCCATTCTAGTTCTATATTGACTTTTGGTTCTCTTTCCAACACCCTAAAAACACAATATTTTCGAAAATGGATCAATTATGAACATTATCGTTAGAGCATAAATAAATTAAATGACTGGGTTAGTACTTGAGGTTAACAACAGGTCTAACGGGTACACCACCAGGTGTTTTGATTTTGACTGGATGACTACGATCACCATCACCTTTGCGAGTGATAGCTGCTACTTGGATTGCATACAAAGTGTCCGGTTGTAGACCGGTGACATTACTCTCTAGCGCGTCAGCTACATCAAATCTCAATGGTTCGTTAAGTAACGCATTACCCTAAGCCACGGAAAATATCAATAAAAATCATAAGAAAACGTGATAATACATAAGTTAATGTTCCTTCGTTAATACGTTGCGACAGATTAGGTACCTCAGGTTTGGCTTCTTGGACGTGTATGTGGTATCCTCTTATGATTCCATGACGGTCTTCTTCGGTGGGAGGTCGCCACTGCACATGTATAGTTGACGAATTAACAGGTTGAACTTTGACGTCGGTGGGAGGTCCTGGCACTGTTACCAATACATATGGCGAGTTAGATATTTTTAGTATCAACAAATACTTTAAAACAATATGCAAACAAGCAAATGGTAAAGGATTAGGTACATGTTTAATTCCTTTTTATCCATCATACTAGAATCGCTCCAAAAATGTTTAGTACAAAAATAAGTTAGAAGTAATCCAAAAATTTACGTGAAAGAAATCAAACATTTTTGGAGTGAAACTGTAATATTAAAAATATAAAAACGATATTATTTCAAACAAAAATCAAAATTAGAAAGGTAAATAAAAATTAATTTGGGTTCCACTATAAAAAAAATCAAAAACAAAAATTTTAGGAAAAACACAAAATATGTTCAATGATTATTTATATCTTACAGTTCAAAAATCAAAATCTACCAAAAAAATATTAAGGATTACTTTGGTTACTGATAAAAATTAAAAAAAAAAAAATTAAAAATATAATCGCCGAGCTAGCCATCGACGATCACTGCTACGGGGTGAGAAAAAACCTTATTATTTTTGTCCACTACAATTGGTTGCGTTGATGTGTACTCACTATTCAATTCTGGACGACCAGATCACCAGGGAGACAGACACAACAGTTTCGCAAAAATAGTGCGAAATCGTACCAAAAAGATACAATAAAAATACTTTTAGTGTCAAAAATACAAAAAACAAAAACAAAAAAAATAAAATACGTAGTTTAATACGTGTGTGTAAAAATTATGTGCATAAAAAATTTGTTGAGCTGCCAAAATACAAAATATGTGCAGCGTTCCCAAAAATATAATATTGTACGAGTCGGGTTGGAAATGATTTTCGCATTGAGGCGATGGGCGGAAAAAAGGGCAAAAAGAGGGCAAAAAATGGTATGAAATAATTCAATACTAACGAAATATTTGGATCGTGGGCTATAAACATACAAACGTCATAGCACGAACGATTTTCGTACATTGATATTATATTTTATAACAATCGTCATTAAAATATATATCTAAATTATATTATGGTGATCATATTCAAGCGGTGTGCATTATAAACTTAAGGCCTTGTGTGGCTTAACTAGGTGCAAGCTTAACGTTAAAGTGGTGCTCTTGAATTAAAGGTCTGACCCATAACATTAATATTATGCGGTACCGCTGCCGTACACCTGTTGTATGTTATCGACGTATATTGTAATAATTTTAGTTTTAGCTTTTTCATCACCGAATGTATAGAGTTGGTCAGCTAATATTTATGATAGGCGCAATATCGGCACAGTGTCCGTCACGGTAGATCTGTTGTTAATTAAAAAGTTAAAAATAACGTTTTATTAAACAATTGAATTTATAAACATGAAGCAATTTAACTTTAAACTTGGAAAATTATTTTGGATGGGTTTTGCTTCATCAACGTGTCATTCAGGACAAACTATCACGAAGTACGTTTCATAAACGCGCGATATTATCGGATTAAATAGACACACCCAGAAGAGGCAAGTGATATTCACATATATATATATATATATATTTATATGGATATGAAATTCTATACGCCGTAGACAATTTTTGAGTTTTAATAATGCGTACGAGTACTTTAATATATCAATCACGCGCGAACACAGAAAAAATAATATTTCATAAATAAACATTAGAAATGTTATGGCCGTAAACTGTAAAGCGTTTTATCGCACACGTCGACGATCAAAATCATTACAAATATCAATATATATATATATATTATATATGCTCTGAAGATTTTCATGAGTCTATTTGTTGATGCGGCGGCAAGTGGTATCGACGTAATAAATTGTTATGGGTCAGAATTGCAGTGTGGTGCGTTTAATTTTTTTTTATAACAATCTACTGTGCTCGTATCGATCTGCGTCCGGAAAATATAAATAAATACAACAATTACATCGAAGACAGAAGAGCAATGTGAATAAAGGTGAGAAAAAAAAACAGCGTGAATTACGAAGAGACATACAACATCCACCCGTATTAATCATATCCATCCGCGGCCGTCACCACGACATTGTAGTATATAATATAAACAAGTTATACATTAACTGCCATGTAAACTGCCTTGTTCGCAGTTACATAAATGTATGTACTATAATATATATACATATTGTATAAATACAAAAATTAACAGTAGAAATGAAGAGGCGCTTCCTAAACGTGGCGAAGATCAAACAGACGTATTGTTAGTATATTGGTACAGTATTATATAATATGCATAAATATTATTAAAAATATTTTCATTTGTATATGTGTATGTGTGGTTTCCCCAAGTAGCTGTGATATTTCTTTGTAATTTGGTCTCATTAACTTTAGTATGTGTATTTTGTATTAAATTATATTTTGTGTATGGCAGTAGCGTATTACCAAGGATTTTTTTATGGAAAAGACAGTATGAAAAATTTGCAAACCGATAAGGAATAAAACTTTTATTGTATTTAGAGAATGAAAGCTGATATTTCATAGATATTATAACTTGTTTTAAATTAAATTACATTATTTTTTATATAAATAGAAATTGAATATATATATAAAAACATAAAATACTTATCATAATTACACAAGAATTTAAAAATAAGTCCCCGGGACTAGGAGATACGTAACCATTGAATACGCCACTGCGTGTAAACGTGTAATATTATGTATATGTAATATAAAATTTACTGCCATGTGTGAATGCTTACCGTCTTCGCGGGTGCGAACCGTAATCGGAGTAGAGGTCGGACCGTCTCCGACGGACGTGCCGGCTAGTACCCAGATCTTGTATTCGGTCCACCGTTTCAGGTCTTCTAGCGTTATCGAAGTGACATTCTCTACCCGGTACGGTTCGGCTTCAGAGTCCGACATACCGCTCTCCGTGGCCATTACCTTGTAGTAGATTATCTGACCGTTACTGCGGTCCGACAGCGGAGGCATCCACTGGACCGAAATGGACGTGGGGCTGATGGCCTCGGCGGTCACGTTCTGTGGAGGCGCTTCGGGTACTGTGTGTGCACGAGCATCGGGATCGGGGAGAACACATATAAAAAATTTGGTGAAGAAATAACAGAATAGAGAAAAATGATAAAATGATAAATAACAATAATATAAAATAATAATAAAGAGAACGAAAATAATAATAATAATAATAATGTATAAAACGTATTCCTGCTCGTCGATGGGGAAAAAAGTAAAATAAAATAGACAGGTATTAGTATAAATCCCCCCCGTTGTCGTTAAGTACACAATGGTTTTTTTTTGCTGGATGTCGGCACGAGCGCGGATAAAACGCGTACGGGATGGTATATAATGTACACGCTCAGATACAAACAAAAGTAACGTTTTAAACGTATCAAAACCAACGTGTGACAAATCTATATAATATCGTATGTGTGCTGGTGCATATTCTAACGACATTAAAACACTAAGCTGCGTCCGACTGTGTACACATTAATATCGCACGCGTCGTCTCGTATAATATTAATAATAATATAATAATAAACGTATACAGGGATAGAGTAATGCACTGTACACTTGAAAGAGAGAGAGCCTTATGCAAACTAAGTGCACGCACTTGTATACGTTTATTTTATTTTAACCGTAGTCGTCGTCACCAGTCGGAGATCACAGCTCGGTGTTGTACCGGGTAAACAGTACTCGTGCATGTGCAGTTTGCTCTGTGCATTTCGTAAACTCTATTTTAATTATTATTATAATTATTGTTACGTGGCAATGTACTTCATCGTACTGAACGATCGCGTCTCCTACCTGGACTCCGTCAAACGCTAGTGTAACAGGATTTGACGATATATCGTCGACCACACTGAACTTACCGTATTGTTTGGTCCGCACTTGGATCGGTGGTGTCGGTGCTCCTTCGCCGCGCTGCGATTTAGCCGCCAGCCACATGTAGTACAGAGTGTTCGGGTAAAGTCCGGTCAATGAGTAACTCTCCGATACCGGTATGCGCCGATGGTGTTTTTCCTGCAAAAACATTAAGACAACCACGTTTATTACAATACGACGATGTCACTCTATTTCCTTATAGTCTATACGGATTTATTGCACAGTCGTTTTTACGCACAAAGAAAACATACAAAATCAAAAAATGCTGACATGTTTTATCGACAGGCCATTGTTCCATTAAAATAATTATTATAATCTGAAAACAAATTTATGCATTTTTACATCAGAAAACTGAGATTTATCAAAAATCGTCTAATAAGAAACCTAAAAAAATGGTGATGTTCAACGAGTAATCAAATTGAAAAACGGATTCCGTCGGAACAAAAGCACAATAAATAACCTTCTAACGATAAAAAAAGAAATTGATACATCCGTACTTAACAAATAAAAACTGGGAATGATCAGCTTCGATATCGCTAAAGCTTATGACATGGCTTGGAGACAGAGAAAAATAGATAAACTAAACAAAATAATCGCCAAGGGTAACATGCTTGACTTCATTTCAAGAGGTATAACGCGATTGCGCCCGATTTATCTTTTTCCATTCAAAAAATGCAATACGATTGCACTCGACTAATTAGTAATATCACGCCCATTTTACCTTTTTTACCAGACTAACACATATTTTCTTGATGAAGAAAGAAGACCCACTTACATGCCCAAACATGCAATTATTCTCAGATGATCAAACACATTCTAACCGAAAGCAGGAAGTACGAGCTACAACGTCTGAAATACAACTTGAACCAATATTTAGCGAAAAATCTAAACCGGTATTATAAATATTCTCAAATTCCTCAGGGACATAGAACTACAAAAAAATATTTAGAATAGTAAAAACGTGTATTGTATATTTATCCATAATGTATTTTAATAATTTAAAACATCCTTGTAAATACTATTTGTAAAGCCAATGGCCCCCCCAGCCACCGAGGCAGTTATTTTTAATAAAAAAAAAAAACCCAAATTCATTATAATAATAGGTTTAAATGATAAAATTAATTTTATTATTTCAATATTAATTTTTGTTAAAGGGATATGGTTAGATATTGCTTCTCTTGTTATTAATTTAAATACAAATTTCGTAGAATACAACAATTTCATCGCTTTCAATGTTATTAAAAGTTAAATCAACACTCATTTTTCTATGTCTAATAGTATTTGGAGTAACTATTGGTTTAATTTTTAGCACTAATAAACGCTTTAAAAATCACTATTAAAATATAGAATAAAACTAAGTATAAATAAACTAAATCATTTTTTTTTTTTTTTTTTTTTTTTTTTATATAAAATAGCCACAATATTTGCGCATTTATCTTTTTTCAAAAAATATAACTCGTTAAATTAACCTTGGCGTATGTATCGTTCCAATAAAGTTCGTAGCTGAGAATTTGTTCACCAACTTGATTGGGTTTAGCCCATTGAAGTCCAATAGATGTTTCTTCGATTTCGTTTACTCGCAAGTCTCTAGGTTGACTGGGCACTGTAACAATACGAAATGTTACTCAAACAAAACTTTAAAAAGCGAAAACTTTAAATTGAAATTCGAGAAAATCCGTTTATCATATTAAAACATGAATCGACAACGAAGTCAACATAATTATTCAGATAAAAAATGGCGTATATATACATAAATATATTTATGAAAAAAATCGAAACACGGGAGTATACGTTTAAAAATCACGGAAACGATAACGTGCGCAAAGGAATGGATAGGAAATAAAATTATTTAGGACAAAATAATATTATTTTATGTAATATACATAGGTAGCAGGATTATTAGTATTGAAGAAACCCTATTATGTTGCGAACAGATATAATTTTATAGTACACAGCAAATGGGTGCAGGGAAACAAATGCACATTATTATAATTTATATTTCTGGCATCTCGTGCGGTATCTACTACTACTCGATTACCTCCTTGTTGCATTTTGACCTGAACGGGCGATGAGAGGGGCCCAGGTCCTACGCTGGTAAACGCTTGCACTCGTATGGTGTACACGGAGAGAGGCGTCAGTTCGTTGATAGTAGTCAGTTGATTATTGTCTACCACCATTGTGTTCCACGACGACAACTGCTGGTCCGGGTTCGTCGTGTAGTACACCTTATACCGCTGGGGATAAATCAATGGTTAGACGGATATTTTATTAGACAAATTGCAATGTGGAGTGCTCACAATCACTTGACCGTTAGGCGTTTCGGGCTCTTCCCATTGTATGACCATAGTGCTCGAACTCAGCAAACGTACTTGAATGTTCCTGGGAGCGGTCCCGGGTTTTGCAGGATAAAACAAAAGAAAATGATTGTCGGTCTAAATTCATTAATTTTCATTAGTGCATTATATAAATACAATTTACCTATATACATGTGTACCACAGCAGTTCTATTAGTTTTACCTAACGAGGTTTTTACTAGGTTAATTTTCGTTGTAATGTTTCGTATCATTAATTCCAACGCATATTTTTTTTATATATATTTTTTGAATAATCTATTGTACGTACTTGGTATCACAACTGAAAGGCTTTAGTGCGGTACTTTGTAATACTACGATTCATGTAAAATACTACGTAAAGATGTTGTTTTTATTGTTTATAATTCATAGTCATTTTTTTTATATGCTAAATATCAAGCGACTGATTTAAGTTACAGTTAACTGAGAACTTACATCCATTAAATATACTAATTAAAATGTATACTGAGCATCATTATAGTAGCTGTCACGTAAAAATTGTAACTGTGGTACACAAAATATATTTTCCGGCGTAATTAATTGAAAAACATCGAATGTCGTAAATATTACAAGTACTGAGGTACGTTATATATTATTTAATATTAGGATCTGGATTTTTATAGTAAAATATGTTCAAACAAAAAACATTTCACGTGTAAATTGTATAGCATTAATACGTAAAATGTGGAAGTATAAAAATAAAATAAATTAAATTACTATCTTTTAAACATTCTATCCCTCCAAAAACATATTTAATTCATAAAATTAATTCTCTCGACTGTATCGAATAATTATAGTAATAAGGTATAAGTATTTTGAATTTGACTATTTTTCAAAGTAAACTGCTTTTTCCCATTACAAAGTAAAAGTTTAGACTAAAACGATTTCAAAGTGTGATAGTAACAATTTAAATATAAAATTAGTATAAACGCGCATTTCAATTTAAATCCATGTTAAAAATACAAAGTTCTAAAAGTAGTAATTACAAAGCAGTTTTTTTTTTGTATTTGTGTTTAGTTAATAATATATTAGTTAAATGAAAAAGAAATATTCCAATTAAAATTATAATACCAGAATAAATAATCTAAAATATATATTATAAAATAATATACTAATAAAAATATACTAATAAAAATATAAATTTACGATATAATAAACTTAATGATCAATATTAATTATTTTTTACTATTTCATATTAAAACTTCTTTACGGCACTGGATTCCGGTCAGAACTAACTTATCATAGTTATGGTCAAAACGAAGTTTACCGTCATATGAATTATGGACATAAATAATTTATATTTGAATTAAAGTCAAAGTATTATTATTTAAGATATTTTTTGTTTAAAACCGTAAAAATGTACATATTTAAAATATTTATATTGGTGTTTTTTGTATAATAACTAAGTAGGTAAAAAATAATAATAATTTTTTTTCACAGCAAAGGGATGGAAAAAAAAATTATTTTTATTACAAGTTTTGCCTATGGTATTCATATATGTACATAGTGTTCACTGTATTATTAATTTTCATATAAAAAATTATAAAAAAACACAAAAAGAGTTTAAAGTCTCAAAAACGTTTGGAAAATATGGCTTTTGAATATATAACAAAGGAAAATTATCGTATTAATCAATAAATTGATCATACGTGAAAACTTTTGATTTTTCAATACCAATTTTTTTGGAATTAAATGACGGTTTGTGTATTATTTGTATAAAATAGGTTAAGCTGTATTTTTTTATATAGAAGCGAATATTTCATATATATTTTTAATCAAAATAAATTTAATTAAAAGTTTATTTTTGTTTGAATGTTACCGCTTAAGCATTAAAATACAACAAGTTTATTACATATAGTAAAAATTATAATGATTCACATTAAAAAATTAAAATTAATAAATTAAAAATAAAGTTTTTTTTTACTCGAAATTGTGTATCAAAATAAATAGTACTTTAAAAAATTAAAAAAAAAAAGTTAGACAGATATTATTGACAGTGGTAAATTGAGCGGTATAAGTAAATACATAAATATCAAATAAGTAATTTAAAAAATAATGTTAAAATATGTATATAATGAAAATAATGAATAATATGTGCACATAGTTGAGAAATAACTTTTTGAAACGAAAACTTTAATGTATTCACGTAGCAATTTTGTCGACAAAATAAGATATTTATAATTGATAGAAACTTAAAAGGAAACTGCAGTATTATTAAAGCATTATTAAATTAAGTTTAATGTCATTAAGAAGAAAATAATTAATTTTGTTTAGTTTTTACTTTTATTATTTAACTAATTCGTATAAATACAAATAAACTAATATTAATCAATAAGTGTTATTGAAGCAAAGCCAATCGAGAAAATTAATATTTTTATTATAAGGTAAAATAAACAACAATATAATCATGGTTAATAACAAAATCTAACTTACTTGCACCTTCACCAAAAGCAGATAGATCCGCTAGAAGAAAAAAAAAACAGAAATAGACAATATAAAGGTGAGAATATATATTTTATGCATATAAAAATATTATACTCAATTTACATACATACACGTACCTATATAAATATACAAATCGTGTAAAAGAAGTATGGATAGTTCAAAATTCAATGTACACATATAAAAGCGTTAACAAAAATTAAAGTGTATTCAATAGCCCGATAAAACCGGACGTCTACGATATCTAACTATATTGCTGTTTTTCAAAAGCTTTTAGACTAATGAAACAGAAGTTTTCATTCGTGTAGTTGATATTTGACGCCTATGTTATTATTATTATCCCCCTTCCCACAGCTCGTCACGGCGGCGACGTATTCAACTCACGCGTTTTGTCATTATAAACTATAATATTGTACGTATTATATTTTATATATATATAGATATATATGTATCGCGTTTAATTAATATACAGTTTTAATTTTATACCGTGTTTACATAGCGTTTACATAATGGTCTAATTATAACAGCGATTTTGCGGACAGTGAAGAGTGGTAAAAGGGGAGCGTCAAAAAAAAAAATTCATTACGTAATCATACGGTTAGCTTTACACGCGGTGTCCAGGAATAATCCTTATACATACAAAAGAACAGAACTTTTAAACGAAGCAAAATTTCTGACGACACTGACACTATTAAACATTATCTCAAGTTTTTTTTTCTTCAAAACTGTTTGAAATATTTCCCGAGTATTCTCATTTCACCTCTTTTTTCAATTTTTTATCACAAAGAGGTAGAGGAGGGGGCACCCATTGTATATGATTGTGTAACATTTTTGAATATTTTCTTATCAGAATTGTCCCAAACACTCTCTCCTATTGCTCAATTTTGTTATTATTTTTACTTATGTTTTTAACAGAAAGAGAGAGAGAAGACACATGCATTTTTAACGTTCGTCATTTACGACAAATAAAACTAATTTTAAGATTCCCATGATAATTTTCTTTCAAGCTTAAAGCTGTAATTTAATTTTCAGAAAATAAAGGCCGAAATCTACTACTAAGTTATCTTAGAATTAATATTCAACTGGTTGATTCTATGTGTTATGTTTTAAGCATCGATTTTGTGTAAACAATAAATGTATATTGATTAAAATAAATCGTGGGTGAAGGGTAATAGCTTAAGTAATAATATATTACATACACAACTATAATATACCAACATGACAATAGCGCTGAAGCAGCTATATTTCTTAGATAAGTTACGCTAGTCTACTATACGAGACCGAAAAGCAGACTGTCAAGTAATAACGTCGAACTTAACATTATGTAATACACCATATTCAATTTTTCATTATATGTTGAATAATAGTAAAATTAAGCCAACTCGTGCAATATTATTTTTTCTAAAACGGAAAGTCACGAAGGGGATTGCACACGTTATTTGCTGTAAATATATACCTTTGCTTACAGTACTTATACGGCAACCACCGTTTCTCAAACTGTTATTAATTTTTTACAAAGCTAGTAAATGCATGTATATATTATGATATTATGTAACTATACAACAATATAATGTAATGCATATACATGTGGTGTATGTATGAGTGTGTGTGCGCACGCGAGTAAATATAATAATTTTTAAGTTGATTAAATTAAAACACTTCGACGATAAATGATTTTGGGTTTGTATACTTTCGATTGTTCGATTGATACTTTCGATCTTCTCTGCAACGTGAATGCTTGCGTATAATAAATAATAATTGGTTTTTGAACTCTAAAATAGTGGAACGACGAGAAATTGGGATACATAAACGTAAATCATGAATTTTTAAAATACCCGGAATAATATAAATTTTAATATTTAAACGTAAATGAGTGTTAACCATAGAAGGCATATATTTAAGTACTTCGATTATTTATTGACGTATTTAGAAATGATTGTATAAACAAACATACGTTTAATATATAATACATTTAATTTAAATAAAAAATATACACATATGATGAATACGCGCGTTTAGTATCGGTTGGGTTAACAGAACTGAAGCGTGTTAAAAATAATATATATTCCAAGACATAGCCTTCAGCGTAATTGTGGGTGCTTTTAAGTTTCAAAATCAGTTATGCATAAAGGGGTCGGACGCGCATTTGATGTAGATTAAACTTTTATAATTCGATACGTAAAATATATACACGCGCACAGAAGTGCACACACATACACAGTAAGTTCTTAATTTTAAAACCACTTTTTTAACATTAATTTTTTCAAAGGGTGACTGAAGGAAAAATAATAATCTAAAATATAATATAGATGAATTTAAGTATGCATGTAATGTCTAGAGGTGTTCTCGGAGAAAGTTGAAGCAATTTCGCAATGAAAATTATATTTATACATCGTAAAAAGAACCCCTTGTCTAATCGATATATGACGATCGACAATCGAGTGAAAACTAATTTAAAAACGGCACATATAATTTAACATTATCCACTGTTATTATTATTATTACGCATATAGGTAATGGCCGCTAGGGTCGACACGGGTACAAAGTAAACCGAGACGCCCAATTTCGAAGACTGCATTTAGGCGTGAGTTTATTTTTTCTCGATACCCTCCGCGAGTTTTTTCTCTCGATTTTCATACGAACCATATTCGGGAGTTTTTTTTTTCGTACTCCGTATTATATTCACGATGTTCGCGTCTTACAACTCGCATACAATCACACGCCACGCGCGTTCCGTGAACATATTTTTAATATTATTATTTTCGAATCGATAAACGCGCACGCATACATAATAACGTATATGAATAAAAACGACGGTGGCGGCGGCAGCACTCGGTGTACAGTTATCAAGGGAAAAACTGTGCGGAGGTTTTTTTTTTATTATTATTATTGTCTGCACATTTCCATTGTGTGATAACCACGTACACGCTGCCATCGTAGCCGACGCCGCTACCACCATCACCGGGAGGGTCAGAGGGTGGAAAACGCAAGAGGGACGGGCGGACGTGGACGAGGATAGGGGCGAAAACATCATCGGCATACGCATGTAATTTCGGTTAATTACGGCAAAACGGTTTTCGGAGAAGGACTGCGACGAGGGTAGGGGTTCAACGGCATGCCTCGGTAGCATCATTGTCCACGCGAACGTGGTCTGGGTCCCCGCCGCAACCGTGCACGAACACACGTACGGCGAGCACTGCACGCGCGCACAATACTGAACGTAGTGGCCGGAAAAGAGGGAAACCCGCGCGGCCCAAAGTATGCACGCACGCATGTGATGTATACGTACGACGTGCATTGTGCGTACGTACCGGATGATTCTTTTGTCGGAGGACGCTGTTAGTTTTCCCGGTCGGTTTAAGTTCCCGAAAACAGAACGATTATTCTGCTTCGGAACGTGCTATCAAAGAAATGCACGTGAATAGAACGGGAAAAACTTTAAGAAAAAAACATTAGCTTTTGCGAAAAACGATTTTCCACGTATAATTACTCCGAGCGTACACCGATATATATATATATATATATTTTTAAACTGTAAAACGTTAAATCTATCGCGAAAATTATGATGGGGTAGTTGCGGTAAATCAACGTTTACGTTAAAAAAAAAAATTTAAAAAAATAGTTTACGTACATGAATGCAAACCTACATATATGCGTCGTGGATGAAATGCGAGAGAAATGCGGTACCAATCGTAATAAAAGTAAATTGGAGAGAGGGGAAAATTATGAAAATATTTTTTCAGGGACGATGACTATATGCACTATATCTACATCGCACTACGACGACAACAATGATGACGATGATGGTAATTGAATTAACTAAATCAATAGATTCTGGCCGCGAGTTATAATGCATAACGATGGGGAGGTGGTGTGGTCGGTGACGAGCGCAGGTTGGTTATAACAGGTATATATAATCGCTGCAACTCGTTTGCACACATTCAACATTTTTTACCTGAAAATCAACGACTCGTTAACGCACGACGAAATCATTCGTTTACCTGAAAATAGATAACTAGTCTGCCCAAAACACAATCACACACATATCACGTATATACATATATCGTCACAGACTGCAGTACAAATTATCAAATATATTATCTTAATATTATCTTATAATCGACTGTGTAGACTGTAGATTATATAAATTTCAATTTTCTAAACAACTTTTAGTAGTTTCAGTAAGTATGGACAGTACAGTGGTGACTAGTGTGTTGACGACGTAAATTTTAATATGGACGTAGAAATTTCTAATATTTTTGAAACTCGGTGAGGAAAACGATGTGTTAATAGGGATGATTATAAATTTAGAGAATACCATGTTTTAATGAGTGGATTTTCAAATTTTAGATGCACTAATAAAAAATGTCCTGTGAGTGTTATTGTTAAAACGAGTAAATCAAACAAAATAATAAAAGTAATCAATTATCATATTCACAAGGAATCTAATAATCAACGATAATAAGCAAACGAGTTCTGACACAAGAAATTTTTGTCACAGGTAGCCAAAATATATATGCACAAACGAGTTGTAGCCGATATAATCTATAGTCGGAGGAAAAGAGTGGCGGTTGGTGAGAAACGACGAATCATAATGTCGAGGTGGTGGTAGCAGCAGTGGTATTCGTTTGAAATCAAAATAAAAACAGTTGGGGTACGTCAATTGGTGATAATATTATTATTACGGTCTATATATATATATATATATTTAGTATATATATATATATATTTAGTATATAAATTCGATCGGTTGTGTAATTACGATAAAAATAAAAAAATACTAAATAAAAGCTTTGATTTATATTAATTTAATAAACCTTCTTTTGCGTTTATATAGGATATTTTTCAGCATTTTTTTCGGCATACATTTTATTATATTATTATGATGTACAACGAAATGCCAGAACGTCATTAGCTAATGGTTGTCATCTGCAAATAACGAATATTACGCCACCAGAGATAATATTGTACAACGCTTTACACAATATATTGTTTACGGGGACATTCTCATCCACATAAAGATATAGGCGGTATACGTAATAGCGACGGTGTTGAAATGCATAGTTAATTATTTAACCGATTAAACACTACACATAAAAACCTAAACCGTAAGCTACCACTATATATTACATTTTAATCGAATCACCAAAAAAGCAATATCTATGTATAACATTTAGGTAACAATAAGAATGTATTGACCATTGGGTTTAAAACGTCAGCCATAGAACGTAAATATTTATTATCATCAGTAAATTAATTAAAAGTAGTTTTCAATTTTTTTTTTTATTAGGATCTACTTTATTTAATTTTTTTATTAAAAAGTTTAATTAAATTCTAAACGCATGATCCTAAATTATTTATAAAACGTGACTTATAAATCTAAAAGAATACGAAGTGGTAAAATTAAATATAGACGTTTTTCGTGGACATGAAATCTCATCTCAAAATATTTGTTATTAAAATGTGAACATTTCAAGTATTATAGGATGTTATATATACATTCTCTTGATCTGAAACGATTACGTTAAAACAAAATAAGTACATACGCATACAATTGAGTGATAAAGGATTTTACTAATATTTTTTCGGGTGACGAGTAACACTTATAGTGTAAAAATCTGGATGTAAAAAAAAATATTGTACATATGTACAAATAAGTGTGCACATCAAAACAAAAACGCTAGAGGGTACTAAATGGTAGAAGGAAGAGTAATGTACTATATAATAGTCGTGTGCTATGCTTTAACACTACAGTGAGTTTCGTTTTGATAAATAAAATCCACATAAGAATAGGTTATAGTGTTTACGGTGCAAAATCTACAAAAAAGTGCAATCAAAACACAAAAGGTGCAATACATCCAAAAATAATAAAAAACCAAAAAAGTGAACACATTTAGACATCAAAATATTCGCGCACTTACTTAATTAATATATTTTTAGCAAAATTGTATCCGTTAAAAATATGTTCAAATGTAGCATGAAATACACATAAAAAACAATAATTTTTTAGGAAGATAAATATAATTATAGTTGAGATAAGGGAGTTTTATTTATATTCAAGAATACCGCATTTTATAACACGTTTTGTTGTTCTCGGTCGTCGGTCAAAAATTAATTAAAAGCTCACAGTAGGGAAAAAAAAACTAATAAGAATATTTTTTTGGTGGGAAAAGTTTAAGAATAAAGGCATTCGACCCCTGGCGCCATTAATTAGTTTTCTAATTAGGACTGGAAATTAACCGTTTTGAAATTTCCTCTTTTACTGTACGTTAAATATATGTATAAATAAAAACATCACTGTGGTGTGTATTTTTCACCGTTGTTGTTGTTGTTGTTCTCATTAAAACAACAATAAAAGACGGGTTTTGACGGCTTCCCATCTTAAAAAAATAAAAAATAAAAAAAAAAATAAACTTTGTTAAAGCTGTTATTTGACCGGAAAACAGAATAATAATGATGATATAAAAAAAGAAATAAATAAATAATAATAATTAAATAATGATAATATTCGAAGGTTGTAATTGGAAATCCATTATATGATGGATTTTATTTAATAATAATTTATTATTATTTTGTTATGGATAAATTATGGATTTTTTCCATCACGCCACGATCGAACGTCACCACGACCTAACCCAATCGCGTTTGCCGAGAGAAGGACACGCGGAACGACGGATGATTACCTGTTTCACCGGTGGTAGCTACTATAGGCGGCGAGGGTGGGCCGTGCCCGAACCCGTTGACAGCCGATATGGTGAATTCGTACTGGGTGTACGGACTCAGCGGCCGTATCGTATAGTACATGGTGACTACGCCGCTGATTACGCCCGGCGACTGTGACGCCGACCTGGGCTTATGCGATATCGTATAGTATTGTATGTCGTCCGGGTTGGGGTGCGACCAGCTCAGCTTAACCGATGTGGACGTCACGTCCGACACTTTGACTTCGATCGGCGGACTGGGTAGCGCTGCACGTGAAAAACAAGACAAAATTAGATAACACTGGAAGGGAGGGGGTAAAACTATTTCGAGGGAGTATACCAGTGTACTGCTCATTATTTTAAGTCAGATACTGATAATATGTCTTCGAATAGAGAAACGATCGTACATACATTGCATTCGTTATGTTGGACAATGCGAACGGTACATAATATCATGTTACAACTTAAGATATCGAACATCATCGTCCGATCTACGTACCAATATCATCCACCTTAAGAATTCAACGATGATAGGTGTATTATAACTTGTTGTGGTGCATTATATATATATGTATATATGTATCGTAAAGGGTAATAGGAATTTTATGACAAGGATTTTTCATGAAAAATATGTAAAATACGGGAAAATTATAATAGAGAAGCCTTAGAAAATTGTATGCTCTTAAGTGATTATTTTTTTTTTTTAATTTTATGTTTATTGAGAATTGCAAATAATTCTGATAACTTAGTACACAGCATGATGTAAAACTGTGGCAGTGAAAATGGCTTTTGAAAATCGGAGGCAGGGGACCTTCACGATGTCTAGACCATAATCAAATGTGTAACGTTGGTACCTAATAAGAATAAACATGAAATAAAAATAATTTCCATAGTTGCACTTTTGTGTTGGAATTTATCTAAACACACACTTTCAATAACATGTTTTTGGTGATCTGCTTTATTTATTAAGTTTTTCTCGATAGTTAAATTTCACATTTTTAAAATATTTATCTCAGAAATTATTATAACTTTAAACATTAAAAAAAATATCAATAGTTATAAAAATAACATAATTATATTTATAAATAATAATATAGAATATTTTTCAATTTAACTAAAATTCAAATCTTTAATTTTATTATTTTATTTGGCAAGTTTTTTAGGAGCTTTGTGGAAGGTTGCGTTCTCAAAGCCTTCCCACTCAATTTGCACCTACCCGTACAAATTAATAATTCAGGTAGTTGATTATATATTATGTTTATACCTGACCTTATATTATTTTATAATTTATGAATTCGAGTACAAAGCAAGATCTGAATATTCTGTTTTTGTTCTAAAAATTGGTTTTATATCAGTCTCTCAACACAATTTCAATGAAATTAACAGGTGTAAACAACACGTTTCAACGTTTTAAAAAGAGCAAAGGAAATATTTTCAAATAAAAATAACTAAAAGCACAAACACTGAGTAAAAAATATGGGTACACAAAGAAAACAGTAATTCTAAAAACACAAAATCGAGGGAAGCGTTAAAATATAATGTGACGGCGCGTTATCAAGTAAATTCAATTATTGAATAATGAAACGTCCACATATAATATGTAAAACTGTATTACACTATGAAAATAAGTACTGACAAGGACATAATATCCTTTTAAATACACGAAATATCAAATAAGATTTACTTAAATTTATACACCGTTACATAATTTTAGGTCTACGAAAGGCTATTAACGCATCATCAATAGGCGAAATTCGTATATAATTAACTCATTTTTTCATGATAAAAGTGTCCATCTTTCATTCAACAAGGGGATTGTAATTTCATGATGTGTGTATATATTCATATTTTATACACTGAATATACTCGGTATTTATACTATTATCAAGTTTCCGAATTAACTATTTGATATAATGAATTATATAATATTCGGTTGCACTTAGTCTAGTATTACAAGCGAGATAATGTAATTTAATACAAACCATGCTAGTTTGAATATGAAATTTTGTTTTCCACCAATATCTTAAGAACAATAAAACGTATAAACAACATCGGTTGTGAGGCTTATTACTATACTTAACCGATAGGAATTTACGCCAACTTTAATCACATTTAACCATTAATGAGCTAAGTTCAACTATCTATCTAATAATCACTGTAATAGGTACTTAAGGTAGATTATAGGTACATACATGTATATCGATTGTTGGTTTAATTAGTTTAATAAATCCTTATATATCTTTTGACGATCTCTTTACTGACAAAACGCAGTAACAGTGGGAGAGAAAGTTGGTTTAGTTAATGTTTACCGATAAATGAAGTCAACTAACTCAAAACTTTAATGAAAGTCGTCGCTTCTATCATGCCTAGAGACGAGGCTGCTATGCATGTGTAATTGTCCGAAAGTTGTACGTTGGTCAAATTCAACACGTTCCTACCCACAGGCAGTTTATCTTCGGGTGAAAGTTCCGTGGTTTTCCCACGGCGCCACTTCACATAAGGCATTGGTGAACCGATGGCCACGCAGGGTATACTGACGTTTTCACCGACTTTTACCTTTTCCATAGTTGGCGGAGGAATGGAAAATTGTGGTGGCACTCGGCGAACTGAAAAATAAATTAAAACGTTCATTAAGCTCGAAATTCAAATACTTATTATAGCCTAATTTAGCATAACCCTAATTGATGTCAAATCTCCCCTTCCCTCAAATACATAAACCGACAATTTTATTTAAGTTTAGTTGTCAAAAAGAATAAAGAGAGGAAAAATAACGCAAAATTATAATACACGCAACAGTAACGGATACCCTAATTGTTTAGGGAATTCCGCTGTCAATAAATTATTTAGACAGGACCCTTTTCGATTACGAAAATAGCACTTAAATGAATTACCGAACACAGGGACAATACAAGCGGAATATTTTTGGACGTCGATAACGATGAAAACGGAATAGCAAGAAGACGACGTTGAGTATTCAACTCGAAATAACTAGATTAGAGTAATTGTGTGGCATTTTTAATACATCCTATGTATGAAGCACCGTCAAATTCGCTCTGAACTTACACAGGATGTCTAAAATGTAGAGTTTTGTCCAAGTTGATTAAGGAAGTTTCGAGTATTTTGTTCGAGGAAAATTAATGCAAACGTCCCGTTGACTTTAAGGATATGTTCCGTTATAAATGAGACGAAAGAAATATAAATGTGCATAACTACATAATAATAATTTTTTTTTAACAATACCTAACTTATAATACAAATATTTAGATCTGCGTCAATTATTTTAAAATAGCTACTTCAGACCTATTGACGTAGAAATACCATGGTGGTGTGTTTATAATAAAATTTTATAGAATTGTGAGGGTATATTAAATATATAAATAAAAAATAACCGGATGGGCCTCGCTCTGCTGTACAGTAGGGGATGGAATGTACCTCGTTTATAGAATAGGTCATTAAAATGGATTTGTTAAATTTGAATGCAATGATCGGTATCATTGTATACGAATAACAGTTCTGAACGGAGATAGTTTGTTAAATATATAAATATATATTATATTATAATAATCTTATATATAAAAAGCAGTCTTCCAAAAAATTTTTATTTGGATATAATTTCTATATAAAATATCCTGTATAACTAAATTTAATTAACAAAAAATGAGTCAAAACGGCTCTTATTATTTTATTAGGAAAAATCGAATATTTTAAATACCTATGAGTTGCTTAAAAATCAGTATAATACTTTGAAAAAAATACGCTTAAAGAAAATGCCAAACTTAATAACTAGTAATAGTTTCGAGTTTCTGCGACTTTTACTTTTTGAATAATAACAAATATTTAAAATTGAAGAGGAATCGTTATTTTATGCAATTTTGTAAAAATTTAAATTTCAAACGGTCATAACAATTATTCCTTAAAGTCCTATAGAAATTTGTTTAAAGTTATTAAAAAAAAAAAACTAATGGATAAATTTATGACATTTTTTTTATAAATTTTTATTTACAAAATAACATGCAAATTATCGCTATTTTGAATTATTTCACACAAATTTGGAATTAATGGGTTATAAAAAAAATTTGTAAGAAACGATTTCCAATTTTTCTTAATTTCAATAAGTTTTATTTATATCTTAAATTTATAATAAACTTTGTATTAAGTTTTCATGAGTTTTCTTACAGCCAATTTTTTTTTATTGGTAATTCAAAAAAAAAAAAAAAAAAAAAAACTTAGAAAAATCGAAAATTTAAATTGTCTATAAATAAGGCAAAATATGCCAAAACACTTTGAAAACTTAACCTTGTATAAAAGGTTTTGATTTTTGAGTTAGAGCATTTTTAAAAAAATGTAGTTTGCCAAAACGCGGTTTTGCGTAAAAATTCCCGTTTTTTCGTAATTTTTTTTTTACGGTTTTTTTCGATGCTTTTGATTTTTGACTTGCCCAAGTACCATCTACATTCATTTTCCTTTCATTAAAGTTGCTATTTAAGAAAATCGAAGCATTTTTACTGCCCCAAAACGTGATAACAGACACAAAAATAAAAAAATAAAAAAAAACATACATCATTGTAAAACCAATAGATTCCATCACTCCGTTCAGAATTTAAAATAAAAAACTTCTAAGTTACGAAGGAAAAAACAAGGTGTTTCTATCTATTGCCTGAATACTTGACATACTTTTATATTTCCTATGATGAGGAAAAAATGTTATTTTAATAAAAAAAAAAAACCTTTTTGAAGACAATTTTTTTTACACTTTTTTGTATAAACGTTCAATAAAAAAATTAATTTGAGTTCATAAATTCATATAAATGATTTTAAAAAATCTATATCATTTTTGACTATAATAACAAATACAACGAATAAAATTAATAACTCATTTATTTTTACTAAAGAACTCTGGTTTTTATTTTGTAATAACTGTTTAAATCAAAATAAAATATTTATTTTTTTTTTATACAACAAATTTCGAAAAATATGTAGGTTGATTATACAACTATTACTAAGTATTTCTGTCACTCTCGCTACAGTCGGTGGTTCATATTAAGTCGAATTTCCGGTACGTTAATCAGTTAAATAATACGAAAAAATTGTTTTCAAATTATTATATAGTTTTTAAATCAATATAAGTTAATTGGAACGTAGGTATAAACAGTAGAAACTTTGGTTACATTTTTTTCTGAACTTTAACTCTGAAAAAAATTCAACAATGAAAACATAAAAAAAGCTAATAAAAAACGTTGAACAATTAAAAAAATAAAATACACATGTATTTAAAATTCAATACGTACATAGTTTTGTAAAATTACTAACGCGTAGCCCTTTACCCTCTCATCACGCCACGCCAACTCAATGCTAGTTATAGCTTGTAATGTTACAATAATACGATTGTAGCCAACAATGAAACTAAATCGCACGCAATGTTTTGTGCAATTACAAGGTGTTAGTGGTGGCATTTGAAGTGAAACGATTTGTTGCTTTGGTAATCGAATTGCTGGCGTCGCCAAAACAATATGATTGTGCAATTTTTCGTTGAAATAGCCACATGTTAAAAATAGTAGTAAACCTATGTAGTAACCAAAAACATATAATTCGGTTCTTTAATTAATTATATTACTGCAACCTGCTGCTCAATACCCGTGCGCGTATGGTTCCATTAATCCGCTTAGGGGCCACAGCAGACATTCCTCGGTTTTCGAAAATAATCCTGCATCCCAAGCAGTGTCCTTTTTAGTCACATCGGCCTCTCATACATATATAGACCTACCTCCGTATATTTCCTTATTTCGGTCAGTACGTATACGAATGAAAGAGCTTAGGGAAATTTGAAAACCGAAACGCGTCCGGACTAGGCTAATCGTTGTAATACCGTCTGGTCGGCTACACACGAGGGACTAATCATAAAAACGTTAAACGATTTCAAGGGGGTTACTGACAACACCGTGGCCACAGTTATAAGCGGCATTCACAAAGTCATTCAACACAAAAGCCGGGCGTACTTGTATGAGTTATTAACTTACGCAACATATACACAAAACGTTAGTAAATTCTTTTGACGTTTACATAACATTTTACAACTTGTGAATAACGTTTTACTAGTTGTGAAATTGATATTACATAGGTTTAATTTAATTGGTAAGTTAATTGCATTTAGTTTATCTGCTTATTTCATACCCGTTTCCCAACTTGAAATAAATAAAAAGTTGATTCAAAATTGTGATATTTTATAGCACGAGAAAAATAACTATGGTACTTAATTAACATTTTAAAATAATTAGTTATCGGAAAATATATTGACGAATGAAACGTTTAAGAAAAATAAAAATGCTTTAAGTAACGTATTTTATTACACATGAAATCATAAATGATTCTTATCGTTTTATATATTAAAAAAAAAAAAAAACAAATCATTTAACGATAAATTATGTGTAGAATATTAAATTTTTATTACAAAAACATGTATATATACGTGTATCTTTTTATTGAATTCGTAAAGCATCGACACTAAATTTTTTAAACCGTATAATTCATTTTTTATTACATCTTTCTCACGTTCATAAGAAATACATAATACAATTATTATTTATTATTAAATTCACATGATAAAAAATATGTATCAGATATATTTGTAAGTATAGAATTATTATTATTTTAACAAATTTAAACGCATTGAATGCAAATGAAAATATGGATAAAAATTATAAAATTAAATTAAAACTTATCTTTCAGTTTAAAATATTACTGTAAAAGATTAAATATTCTTTAATTATGATACATTTTACTATTTTTAAATAAAATAAAATAAAAGAAAATAAACTCTTTACCATTTTATGATTAAAAATTGATTAAATTTTATCAAAAAATATTTTATTTATTTATGTATTTATTTATTTTATTTTTATTATTTATTTATTACAGATTGATGATACGATTAATTAAAGTGCTTGAATAAACATTTAATAAAAAATATACATATATTATGAATTAATTAACAATCAACTCAAATAACAAAATTTATTTTGGGTTAGTCAGAGTTCAAAAATGTATTGCCTGGATTTATTTTCTATAATAATAAGTGATTTTAGTTTTGTATTCATAATTGTTGCGATTCAATTTTTATATACATTAAATCATATAAATAAAGTATAAATAACGATATATTTGTTAATATTCAATCACGTTAAATATTTAACTTAATTAATTTTTAATTCCTATTGAAGGTTAAAGAAGCATCAACAGAATATAATACGCAATATATTTTATAAAAATAAAATATACGAAATTAAAAAAACTTAATACATCCATTGGTATATAACGAAGTACTTCGAGTAGGGTTATTGTAAAGGAGGGTGGCAGCAGTCTAGTGCTTTTTGAATTAAATTAATTAACACATACACTCGTATGTTATACGATAATTAATATAAACAATCATACATACATACACACAAATATATACACAGACCAGTTAGCATATATAAAGCGCGAACCACACTGTGTCTTACAGTCATTATCCGGTGAAGAACCGATTTTATTTATAAACCATAAACTCATTAAAATTAAAATTGGTTAGTCGATTCTGAATTTATATACATGCACAGGTGGATGGAGTGGTAGTAGGTGGTATACCGGATGACATTATAAAACACATGTTGTCCACTTCTATTCTAGAAATAACCCTTCTTCCTTCCGTAGTAGCAAGACCGCTGTCCAATTACGTTTTCGACGGGCCACCTATTTACCCAAGCTACTTCCGAAGGACTCGAGCACAATCAGCAATACGATTTCCTTAGTATACAAGACCAAATACCAAACGCTTCTTTCAGTTTCTTTTGAATACCGTGAGACTTTCAACATTTTTTTATACTACACCATATCATCAAAAATTATATATGTCGTTGAAAATATTACTGAGTCAAAAAAGTTCTTGACGATTATTTTGATGTATTTGAAGAGATTTTACGAATTTTCAAAAGAAAAAAAAATTGAATATTCTATAAATAATACATTATAGAATTAAGTTACACTTTAATAAGTGGTATATAATCATTATAAGTGATAAGTATTTATCATATGATTCGTAATACAATTTATAATAATGATTATTTATTTACTTATTTATTTTTAAGTAATTTAAGTTTTTATTCAACCCACTTATATAAATTAGTAAGCACCTCATAATAATATAAATGTTTATTTAATGACGTAAAATAGGATTGTCACATACAATTACGTAGGTATAATAGTTCTACAGTATAATTTTTATTCAACAATTATCAAGCATTTTTAAGTCCTTGTTTTAAATGCCCACTATGTATATAAACCATCGAAATTGGAGGATTAAGTGGTAAACCGCTTTTGATATAAACAAACCTCAGTTTAAATGTAATTAGAAAAGCTGTTTTGAGGGTCCTGAAAAACACACTAACGAAAACCATTAGAAAAAAAAAAACGTAGGCAATTATTTTAATTATCTGACATTAACAATTACCCGGCAGACAAACCGTAAACCTATTTACCAGTGGATTTTTAATTTTATTTTCCTTAAATAAACAATAACCTATCGCTCTGTCAAGATGAATCGACATATAATAATAATTATAAAATAAAGAATGGAATAAACAAAATAGCCATATGTCACAAACTGATATCAGAAGAAAATAGATTTTTACACTAATTTTCAACCACGATAATGAAATGAAACTTCTTTCAGTTGTTAGGTTCTAAAATTTGAGGGGAGGGGAATTGAATGAAAAAAGCGGAAAATTCAAAGGTTTATGAAGAACATATTTTAATTTGATAAAAAGAAAAAAAATATATAAAATATAAAACTTACTAGTATGGATGACGTTATGGTAACCTCAAGTGACGATAGTAGTAAATGTGTTACACTTTTACGGTTTCGATTTTTTTATGATAATGCTTGATAAGGGCAATAATAAGTATTCATATAAGTGTATGTGTATGTATGTATAAATATGTTGGTATGTACACATAAACGTATAAATATATGTACTTGTGTATTTATTATTAAAACTAGTGAATTTTATTGAAAATATCGAAGTGGAGGGTATGATAAAAATTTATTCACCCATAAAACGTGCTCGCGGTTAAACAAATATAATAAACATATAGATGTCGAAGTAGAATGCTGGTTATTTCTTTGGTGGCATATAAAAACGGAAAAGAAAATTGATTGATAAATTGAAGTTTCAGAATTTTTGTTTTCAGTTATTTGTAGGAAACCATTTGGGAAATCAATCATATATTACTAAAAAAAAAAAAAATATATTATAATTTAATCAATGGTAATATGGACGGATTTATTTATTCCACATATGAAAAAAAAAATAATACCTGGTAATTAGTTGAAAATTAATTGTAAAGAAAAAAATTAATACCAAATAAAAAACAACGAAAGTTTTGTATTCATTTCTTAATTTTAAATCATAAGATGTTTTGTTTATAAAGTATTAAATTGTAACCAAAAAATATTAAAAAAAAAGTTATTAGCAATATTAATTTTTTATTGATTTATTGATTTTAATTTATTATTGATTAGATTTATTAATAAACTTTGTGGACACATATAACACAAAAAAAAAAAAAAAAAAAAAAAAAAAAGGAGTCATAGTTTTATTCAAAATTTATATTATTATTATATAATCTAAATGTATTTAAGTAAAAACTTAGAAAATGTTTTAAAATTATAAAAGGTGGCCGCCCAAGAAGAAAACAAATTATATCTGGAATTAAAATGAAAATATTTCAAATGTCTCATTATCGCACCCAAAATAAATACTAAAATTTGACATTTTCATAATTCTTTCATATACTATACTTTAGATACGCTATACATTTATTAAGATTAATATCGCCAAAAAACAAATTATTATTTGTATACTTATTTAAGAATATTGTAACATAACACCTTGGAATGCAGGAATAAAACAATGGAATTCAAAATATGTTTTTATGATAGTTATTTCAAATATTAATATTTATGAGTGCAAAAAATAAAGTTACCCAATATATAAAGCTATTATTTAAAATTTCAAAATAAACACATTTATTGAATGAATTACTAGTTAAAATGCTAAAGAAAAAGCTTAATCCAATAAACAGTAATATTTTATAAAAAATATTTAATACTTGACCATCAAGTTAACTCTACATTGTTTTATATAAATAAAATTGTACTTGATTTATTTTTTATTGAAATGTTTTTAATCTAAAATACATGCAATTTAGATTATAAAATGAAATGCTTTTTGTACGTGATAAAAAAAGTTGACAATTTTTACAGTGAAATCTTTTATTCATTTGTTTGGATAGATGTATAATTAAATTAAATTTTAACGTAGTTATGCATAATAGTAAAATATGAAATATCTGGTATCAAAAATAAAAACTTCCAACAGAAAGAAATTTAATTATTTTAATCTTATTATTATTATTTTTAATTAAGAAATCTATGTTGAATCAGTTAATTTATAAAATGAACTGAAGCGGATTTTAGTTTAGTTAAAATTTAAAAATTACAGTTATACCATAAATATGACAGGTTTATTTTTGTAGTTTTTATAATACATTTTTTTAAACAATTGGAAAATAAAAAAATAATCTCCGTAAAATGTAACCTTTATTCATTTTATGGTTAAGGATACATAATGAAAGTTTTGAACCATTTTTACTGCCCTAAAAGTGTTTTTCAAAATAGAATTTATAAAAAAAAAACATGTCATTGTAAAACCAATAGATACACCGTGTGGCTCAGGATATAAAATAAAAATCTAAAAGAAGTTTAAAATAGATTTTTAAAAAAAATAATCATCAAATTAATCGAAAAAAGAGCACACAAGATGTACACTGATAAATGAATAAACTATTTTTTCACAAATCTTTAATGGTTTCCAATAAACTTTTTTCATTGAAGAGTAAACTGCAATTTAATTTTTTATCGTTATAATAGTTTGGACTTGAAAGTTATCTTAAGTGTTTTATTAGTGTTTAAATTATCACTTCAGTCGTGTAACGTTCGTAGTCCGCTACTCACATGTGTTTCGTTATCAAAGCTATAATTATTATTTTTTTTTTTTTTTTTTTTTTTTTGTCTACTAAACCGAATGTAACAAATTCGGTATCATCGGATGAAGAAGAGAAAAAAAATAAATAAAAAAATAAATCAATCAAATCAAGCAAGTCAAAGGAAAGAAAAAACAAACTAAATTGGTAATATTATTAGTATATATTATATATATATATAATTTTATAAGGATGTTTATTCGTTTATACAAATTAAGTTTCTTTAAAAAAATAGAAAATTAATTTCTCAACCTATCTATATTAAATAACAAGTAACTACATATTTATAACAATGATTTTAAACTATATTTTAAATATACTATGATATTTTCAGTATCATAAGAATATTTATGTATTAAAGAAAGATTATTTATAATTCTTTTTTATTTGATTTTTTTTAATACATTCATCACTGTGCAATTAATTTAATTCCAATGCAAATTATACATGCATTCATTCTACATATTTATAATACTTTTTACGCAAATTAATTTTGTAGATATCTTTTTGATTGATAATTAAACTTTATAAAAAAAAGGAAAAAACAATTCGAAGTTAAACATTTCACACGCATTTAGTAATTATACAGGTTTACTTATATATTTATTTTTTCATTCTGGTCCAGAAAATATTCTTTTGTTGGTGTAAATTCGTCGATCTTTACGGAAACATTTCGTTTTATCACAACAATGTCAGAGGAAATTCAATGAAACATCCGACGGTTCACGCCTGCCGCTAACTCCTTCCCTCCTCCCACGACAGCGACCTCACGCTAATGTTTCACAATTAACCTAATTAATTAACTGTAACCTCGCGAAGGGTATATCGTCCAGGGACATCATAAATTCGTTTGGTCCCGTTTACCTGTACGTGCCTGTAGGTCGGAATCGTAAATTACATTTACTATATAAAAGTTAAAAAAAAAAAAATTTGCACAGATCCTGCTGAATGGAAAAATAAAAATAAACAACAAATTAATGAAAAATAATGCGATTTCAGTCTAGTTTGTTCTTTGTTTTTACGCACAATTGGGTTTTCGGGCGCGGAACGCAATGTGTTTGCTTACTAGGCCAGATAAAAATATAATAATGAAATGTACGGAAAATAATACACTCACCTCTGACCCATAGCATGATAGCTGTAGCATGTTGCGTACCCACAGAATTTTCAGCCACGCACTCGTATTTGCCCTGGTCCGTTTCTTGGCTATCACTAATTTGCAAAGCACCTGAAAAAACAAAACATATAATAAATTATAATGGTGTTTGCTATTATTTTATTGTCGCCGTATCCTTTATTACGAGTAAGAAAATATTTATTAAAGCAAAAGAGAAGAAGGTCAAAGATTAAATAGATTATGTATGATAAACGTCGAAGAACTTGATAGGGGTTAACGATCTCCGGTCGCATTTTTACTGCTCGACAGGCGCCCGTCGTTGTTTACCCCGATCATCATAGAGCATCGGCCATGGCTGTACCATATTTTCGATTATCGTGACCTCATCCTCGCATATATTTCTCTATTCCTTCCCCACCGCACATACGCCGCTATCATCCGTCTATTTTACCTACATCACGGAAAACATTGGCGTTTATGTGACCGACCCCAACGAACGAAGAGGATAACGACCGACCCTTCAAATAATAATGTCCGCTGGATGGTTGAGGTCGTTGCCGGTCGATTTTTCCAAATCACTTAGACTCGGATTTATGTCAATTACTTATGAAGGCTAAAACCAAAAAAGACACCAAGTTATCTAACCTCTGCTATATAAACACATATCACTACTTTAAAATAACGAATTAACGTTCGTCAATAATAATTAAAATTGCATTTGAATAAAACAATCACGAAATAAGTGATAACAAAGAAAAACGGATATGGAATAAAATATAAAATAACACAATCGAGTCACGGTAACTTGAATTTGAAGGGGAGTATACATTTGCTTCGAGCTTTGTATTATTCGAGGTCTTTAGCTCAAATTTATCAAAATTAAATCAACATATTGAGTTATGTAATGAAATATAATTTAAAATGTTACGATGCGAGTACATACTTATGTAATCATGCATGTACTAATAATCAGTTTCTATTTATTCGTTTATTATTTTACAATCGAATAGATAAAACCACGGCTAGCTTAAATGCGGTTAAGTTATGTCGTGACATAGAGCCCCCGCACTAAAAAGCCCTGTAACCTATCGGAAAAAAATGTATCATTGGTCATTCATTTTATAAGTAATAAATGGTTTATTTGTGATATGTATCAAAATTAAAAAACACATAAGTCCAATTTGGTCTATAAACGTCACACTAAAAATTGTATAAGTTGTTTCCAATAATAAACGGAATATGTTGTCCGATTCTAATAACATTAATACAAATAAAGATAGAAATATATAAGACATACAAACGCTACATTTACCAGTTAAATGTATGATTTACCAACGCATTTATGAATATATATTCAAAAATAAAAATAACTTTGATTTATATTTATATAGTAAATTTCTATAAATATTACAACATAATTTAACATTTTTTTAATGATTTTCATCAGAAATCACGTCTTTGTAATCATGCAGTTTTTTTTTCAATATGGATGTTAGTTATTTTTTTGTTACTCATCATCACTTAAATATTATTATAATGACATCCTACACATCGACGAGAGAAAAATCTGAACGTAAACTATTAATATACGAGTATTATTTAATTTATATCACTTAAATTGTAATAATTTAAAAATATTTAATTTAATAGAAAGAGTAAAGTAAAATTGTTGTATTTGTGACTTTAATACGTATTACGATATGAAATACCATATTCGAGAAGAACGTTCCAAATCTACGAATTAAGTATTCAGGGTTGAGCCACACATCATATGTATTAGGGTATTACAAAATTCAATTTATATTTTTTAAATTTCAAATATTAATATAAAATCACATATTTTCCACATAAATAATATAACTATCGATAGATGGGAATTATTATGGCAGTGGCGTCATTAGGGCTGGGTCATTCATTTGCTACAGCTAAGAGTCCAGCTATTCCAAAGTCAGCACGTTATCAAAATATAAGTAAATATTTCCAAAATCTATGACATGTTGTAAATCTGAAAAATTATACATGTACTAAACGATTACATATGTAGTTACTAAGTTCAAATCATAATATTTTTGAACGGGTTTGACGTACCCCCCCCCCCCCATGTTAATCAGCACTTTGATAAAATGAGCCACCCAGTCAGATATATAATAAAAGTATGAAATCCCTAAGTTAGAAAATAAAAACTATATAACACGTCAATTTTTTTTTTATTATTCTTAATATAAATATGTATTTACAAACTGTAATATAATAAAACAATCATCGATAATGATTAAACATACAACATAATATCATTACGAATGTGCATATATAATTATGACTAAATATTTTATTTTCTAAATTATTCTTATTGTTGATAATGTTTGAAATATATAGTAATGCATATAATTATAATTAATAATAAAAAATGTAAGTGATAATATGAATTAGTTGATAGAAATTGTAAGTGGAATGTCTACATTTTAAAATATGGTTGTACGTTTTTAAGGTAAATATAAAATTTATGAGATACGAGGAAATTTAAATGGTTTATTATACATAAGCTCAAAGTGTTTTCTCTTACGATGTAATTTCTTAAAAGGTAGCGCTCTTTATATGTATGCAAAATGAATCCATTTAAGACTACTTGTAATTAACGATTGTAATGAAGTTATTATTTTATCATATCTTCTAAATTTTAAGGCGTCATTCAAAATTAATAATTTAAGTGGTATTTTTGCAAATTACGATCATAAATTAGACAAAACAAAGTCTCCCGGTATTTTTTTTAAATATCTTCTATTATATATATCAATTTAAACAATCTTATTTATAATTGGTAATAATTGCTATACCAATATGGTTAAATAAATGTTATAAGTTAGTATTTTTAATATTTTTCTCAGCAATAATAAATTTTAATTATTTGTAAGAGTTAAATAAATATTCTTAATTTAGTCATTAGCCGTTTTAAAATATTGACAAAGTTATCAAAATTATACTAAAAGGTTCTTATTAACATTAATAAATTAATATACGTACGTTATATTAAAATTTTAAAATTGAATTTTCATTAAATAATTTTTTAAGTTATTGTGAAAATTCTCATACATTTATTATAATAATAATAATAGTTTATTGTCAAAAAAAATATTTTACATATATAAATATAAAAATAATTAAAAGTAAAACAAATTTGACGCCACCCCGAAATCATAGCTTGTGTTGGGTGCAGAAAGTTCAATACAAAATTAACATATTACCAATTATTATTTATAATATGTATATAATACTTAATTATAAAAACATAATTATAATAAGTAAAGTATAAACATATTTCATATAGATAAATATAATAGAAAGAAAATACAATTTCAAGTTTTCGTCTATAATATAATATGATTTCAATTCAGATGTTTTAAATATATTTTATAATGATACTAATTTTCATATGATTTTAAATTAAAATTAAGCATAATACATAAACGAATACGGACATTAATAACCATTTTTCTACCAAATTCTTTATGGGTTACTGACATATTCAGATTTACTGAGTGTTTAAAATGTATTTGATAGCGATGTGACGGGTAATTATTTTTTAAATCTGAATTAAAAACATAATTAAGGATATTCCATATATATAAGCCATTGAGGTTTTTTACATTAAATGTACTGTAAGAGTCGTCTATATGAAAATCTTACGATTTCAATAGTATAAATCTCAACAGTGAGTTTAATGTAATAATAAATGGATTTAAAGCAAACTTTGATGCATTTCCCCAAACAACAATGCCATAGCTAATAATAAATTGTACGATTGCTAAATAAACTGTACGCAAGGTTTTGATGTTGAAGATGTTTTTTGACAATTTAAATTTATAAAACAATTTTCGTATCATACAAACTACATGATTAATATGTAAATTCCAACTCAAATTTCTATCAAAAATCACTCCAAGGTATTTAATTGATTTAACATGTTCAAGCTTATCACATTTTAAGGAATTTAAGAACCTATTATAATTTGAATTTTGTAATACTAATGGATTGTATATTAAACTTTGATTTTTATAAATTTCAAAAAACATATACTTTGATTTTTTAATATTGAGTTCGAGTAAATTGTTTACAAACCAGTTATTAATAGTTTTTAAGACGAGTGTAGTTAATATATTAACTATATTATTTGAGGCACCACTGACTAAAATTAAGGCATCATCAGCAACTTATTATTTTAGCATTTAAATTTAAGTCAAATAAACCATTTGTATAAATTATAAAAAAAATAGAGGTCCTAACACTATACCTTGTGGGACTCCAAAGATAATTGGTGAAAAATTATTCAAAATATTATCAACTATAACAGCTTGATATCTTCCAACTTAAAATGACGAGAATAGATCAAGTGCTTAACTACGAATACCAGCATATTCCAGCTTTTTAATTAAAATACTATGGTTTACTGAATCATTATTTGTTAATAATAATTACATATAAGTTCGATATGAAAAAAAATTGAACATATTTGGTTTATAACACAGTAGGTAGAAAGAAAATCATAGTCAAAAATGGAACAACAATAGTAATTTCGTTATTTCCCTTGGGCACTGTAAAATGATACGGTTTTTTCTTTTTTTTTTTTATCCAAATAATAGACCGAATGACAAAAAACAATAATTCGCTGGGACGTAAAAAATTGATAATATTTACGGTAGGGGTTTTGTCGTTTCAGACAGTGTGCCTGACAGATCCAGGTATGTATACATATTTAATAATACACAATTGCTCACGTCTCGGTAAACAATTGTTAAGTTTCATCATAAAGCAACGTTCCATAAAATTAGTTTTATTTATTTGAAAATGTTTATAAAAATAAAAATAAAAATATGAAATTAATACATTAAATTAACTAACATTTTTTTAAATAATTCAGTATAATAATACATCTGAAAATTGACATTCAAATTAAATAATTTATTTTAATATTTTAACTAGTATACTATTTTAACTGATAAAGTAATTGGTGAGGAGGATAAATAAAAACAATAGACTGCATAAGAACCTTTATTATATAATAATTTTTAGACAAGAAATAAAATTGAAGGTTATCACCAATTTACGTGAATGAA